TGTTCTTATTTCGAAGGAATCTGTCAGTTCCCCACACAGACTTGCGCCGATGTGCGCTCATAAAATGCCTTTATGAGGCTAATAATTTTCTCTGGAATACCATCACGTTCCATCACCCTCTAAAGCGCCGCTTTATAAACTGAATCAAAGGCAGCCGCAAAGTCGATGAAACACGTGACAATGGGTTGCAAATATTTGAAGCGATGTTCCAACACCCTTCTTAATGTGAATATCTGGTCAGCACAACTGCTCCCTGGACAGAAACCAGCTTGATTAGGGCGCATCCTGCTCTCTCGTATTTCCATAAGTCTGTTGAGTAGCAAGGAAGCAAAAATTTTCGCTGAGACTGATAGGCTGATCCCTCAATAATTGTCGCAGTATGTTCTATCATTTTTCTTGAGAATTGGGAGCAGAATTTCTTTGCTCCAATAATATTTCTTTTTTCCATACTAAAGAGTACATTTGTTGAAGGTGCGTTATGAAAGACGATGGACAGCATTTAAAAAACTCAGCCCGAAGACCATCTTCTCCTGGAGTTTTGTTGGCCTTAAGCTTATGGATAACTGAAATTATTTCTTCTTCTGTGCAATTGCAAGCGTATGCTTGGCAAACGTATCAGATATATCAGGAGCAACAGATGGGCGCTTCATGGTTAAGTTTGGCCTCAAAGAATTCTTTCAATCTTATGAGAAGATCCTTAATACTTTTGATTAGTACGCCATTACTGTCTCTTATCATTTCACTGATTGTTCCCCGAGTCATAGTTGCTTTATGAAGAAGGTAGAATAGTTTCCTGTTGTCGCCTAATCAAGCCGCCGCCTCCAATTTTGAGGCCATATCACTCCAATAGAGATTTCTGTCCCGTCTTGCTGCTTTCGTTGCAAATTTTCGAAGCACCCGGTAGTCAGAATCACCTGACATTCGTGCTTTGGCAGCTTTTTAAACAATTGGGTAGTTTCTTTCGATACCCAACTAGTGCATTTTCTACTAGTATATCCTAGCGTGGAAATGGCTGATTTTCGGAGACATTCCTTTAATTTGGACCAGTATTCATTTGCCGTTCCAGTAAAATCATTGATATTTATATCATTGAGATGCTTCAATAATTCGTTTTGAAATGCCCTCACTGTCCCCGAATTTTTTTGTTTGAGATAGTTGAAGGAACTTGGGGGATGCTGTTTTCTGCGCGTTGTCAATTTTATGCGGATCTTGGCTCGAACCATAACATGGTCAGATCCATGAAGATTGCTCATTTCAGTTCTGCGATAGGAATGACTATCTAGTACGGAACTCTTCCAATGGCGACTGACTAAGATATAATCAATCTGGTTGAAGTGTTGGCTGTCCGGAGAGTTCCACGTGACTAGAAGTTTTCTATGGTGCCGGAAGCAAGTATTAGTAACAAAAAGTTCATACTCTTCGAAAATTCATACTCTTCGGCATAACGAAGAAGGAGTTCCCCATTGGTGCACAGCTTTCCAATGCCATATTCGCCAATTGCTGAGGTCAGCGGCATTATGACCTACGTGCGCATTCAAGTCTCCATCGATTATGACCTTGTCATATTTCGGTAAAGACTTTCTTAGCAATTGAAGTTCCGCATAGAACTTATCTTTATTCCCGTCGTCTGCCGACACAGTTGGAACTTAGACACTGATGATCGAGATATTGCAGAACCCTTAAAACGGGCATAGGTCATACGGTCGCTTACTTGTTTCCACTCAATCAAAGCGGAATGGGCTTTGTCAGACATGACAATTCCTACGCGGTTTCGTCCCGAGTTATTCGAAACGCCAATGATATAGCCAGTATCTCTGCTCTGAACCAGGATTAATAATTGCTCGAGACCCAAAGTGAGGAAGATGGACCTCCGACAAGCAAGCGATATCCACACGATATTTAGACAAGGTGTGGACAGTGACTGCTTGGCTTGCAACGTCCATAAGCTTTCTGACGTTCCACGCTTATACGGCTAATACCTCGCCGCGTGCAGAGGGCTGTTCCTCTTGATAGGTTTTGAGCAATTTCCTTAGCTTGAGAGCATTTTATTTACCAGCCTTAGGATCGCTTTAAGCCCGAATTGTATATTTATCGCATGTACCAGCGAGCTCTTTTATTATCATGCCCGTCGGGAGACGCCGTATGAAGTGTATCTGACCCTTTCACCATAGAATCACTTGGGGATAGACTTACAGGTGAGTCCTCAGCAGCCACCTGGATTTTTGACATAATAGCAAGTTTATTCCTGCCAAAGACAAAAAAAAAATTAAATTTGAAGAAAATAATAAAATGGATAATGAAATTTGAAAAGATATATATATATATATTATTTATACAGTTTAATTGATTTGATTTAATTTAATTGATTTAATTTTAATTTATTTTATTTTAATTTTAATCCTTGTTTGGTAAAAAAAAATTGAAAGTTTAAGAGGACTTAGCTGAATTGTGATCAGAAATGAAAAAATAAATTCACAAAAATAAATCGAGAGTATTTTTTTGAAACGACCGCTCAACAAAAATTTTTTCGATTAAATGATATCCTGCTGGGTTTAATTTTGCTACATTTTAATTATATTCTATAAATAATTATTCTAAACTTATCTTCATCATACCTTTATACTATAATTTATAAGATGGAAAAACATTATGAAGTCATCATGTCAGCTTTACTGCTTTCATTCATTCCAACATTGTGAAGAAGAATTATATTCCGTTTCATTCTTTTATATTTTTGATCGTTTCATCTGTCACAGTTATGCTACAAAATAACATCGCTTTTAAATATATCCACTCATAACGTCTATTAAATTCATTTTTGACTTTAATTTAAGATTTTCGCTTTGGCTTATCATCAGTGTCGGTGGAATTATAATGATGAAGAAGATGTATCTACTTTACAAACCAATTTTGATAAATATGACATTCCCGTTGATGCGATTTGGTTGGATATCGAACACACTGATGGGAAACGATATTTTACTTGGGACCTAAAAAAATTTCCAAATCCTCATGAAATGATTTTCAATGTTAGCAAAAAGGTAATATTTGCATTTTTTAAAAGAAAAATTGAAGGAAAGCGTGAAATATTTTAGGGTAGAAAAATGGTAACGATAATCGATCCACACATAAAAAAAGATGAGAATTATCATGTGTACAAGGAAGCAAAAGAACTTGGATTTTTTGTGAAGGTGAGTCATAAAGTTTTCAGCGTCATTTTTGAAATCATTGAAGACATTACTTTGTCCTATGCTTCATTATTTTCATTTCTATCAATGTATTTGGCAGAATATCATCAGCATCAGCACAAACTGTATTACTATCACAATTTGTAATATTGAAAATGGAGGAATGTCAGTATAAACCATTATTGTGAAAAAGTTTGTCAAAGAAACCAGTTAATTGCAAAAATTCCTAATTCTAAAACAGTTAAGAAACTTATGCCAGAAAATACTTATCTTTGCCTTTCTCTTAGCTTTCACTTAATTGATCCTTTATAATTATCAATAAAATTCTTTTTCAATTTCATCTTAAATATTCGTCTTTATTGTTTCCTACTTGAAAATAGATAAATGGATAAGCAAAATGTAAATCATTTAATGCAATTTTTAATGATCAGTTAGTCAAACCAGTTAATTGCAAAAAAGTTTGGAAAATCTTCAAAATCTATAGAAATTTAAACTTTTACAATTTTATCGTTATATTATCGTGCATATTTCTCCAATTTTATTTAGGACCATAATGGGAAATCAGACTATGAGGGTCATTGTTGGCCAGGTGGTTCCATGTATTTGGACTTTTTGAATCCTATGGTTCGCGAATTCTGGGCTAGTAAATTTGCTTTTGATCAGTATGTCGGCTCGTCTGAAAATCTATTCACTTGGAATGATATGAATGAGCCTTCAGTATTCAGTGGGCCTGAAGTGACCATGCATAAAGATGCGAAGCATCATGGTGGATGGGAGCATCGAGATGTTCATAATATCTATAGTTTTTATCATGTAAAATTTTATTTATTGTAAAAAGAATCAAACAGTAGTGTAATAGCTATTTGCTTCTATTATTAACAGTCTTTTCATTTACTATTCTTTATCCTTTCATTTAATAAACATGCTAAAATTTTTTAACTATGGTAATTTGTTTTAATACTCATTCCGTTTTCAGCATTCTTCTACTTATAATGGTCTGAAGAAGCGAAGCAACGGGAAAGTACGCCCATTCGTTCTGACCAGGTCTTTCTTCATCGGAAGCCAACGTACTACAGCAGTCTGGACAGGAGATAATACAGCCACTTGGGATCAGCTTCGCATTACGATTCCAATGTTACTATCGCTTTCCATTTCTGGTATACCTCTTGTTGGAAGTGATGTCGGTGGATTCTTCAACAATCCTGATGAGCAGCTTTTGGTCAGATGGTACCAGGTAAACTGCTAATTTTATATATTTTGATATTAAGTAACCAAGCGTGTCTAAGAGTCAATCATTTACCACCTATTTTGCCAACAAAATTTGTTGCTTTTTTCTCATTTCTTTTGGTATTTGAAGGAGTTTGCATATTCTGCTATTTAGGCCGTAAGGTCCTCAGCTAAATATCGGCCTAGATTTCAAGAAAGGTTGAATTCAATTCTTTCCCTTCTCCGTTTTTGATCGGAAGGAAATGCGTAATACATTTAGAAGACGAAAAACTATTATTTTAGCATTTTTCTTTTATTCATTTTTTTTTTACTATATTTTTCAAATATTTTTAGATCAAGAAATCTTCTAGATCGAAGCAACTTTCAGGCTGCAGCTTTCCAACCGTTCTTTCGATCTCATGCTCATATAGATACTAAGCGGCGTGAACCTTGGCTTTTCTCTAATGAAACAAGAAATATTATTCGTGAAGCGATAAGGCTTCGTTATTCTTTCCTTCCTTACTGGTATATTTTAAAGAATTAAATCAGTTAGTCATTAATCGATTTTTCGAAATTCACATATTTTAGGTACACATTATTTTATGAACATGCAGAATATGGTAAACCAGTTATGCGCCCTCTTTTCGTTGAATTTCCAAATGATGAAACGTCTTTTGATGAAGAAAGGGAATTTCTTATTGGTTCTGGTCTTCTTGTTCGTCCGGTTATGGAACCAGACGTTTCTTCGGTTTCTCTGTATTTGCCCGGAGTTCGTAATGTTGTCTGGTATGATTGGACTACACATAAGGTTGTTTTTTGTTTTTGATGGTTTTTTATGTTTGAAAACATAAAGTTCTAATATTCTATATATTTAAATATATTCATTTTATATATTATTAACTATAAGGTATAATTGCGTGGTGGGTTGTTTCGAGATGCCAATGCCTGGAGTTCTGCCTCCGGTAAAAGTAAAAATATCTTATATCTTTTAAAAAATCGAGACGATTTTGGCAACCCATCTATATTTCTGTTGTCAACTATGGTGGGCTCTTTTAGAAAAACGATTATTAACCATTAATAATCCAAGTTTTCTTCATTTGATTAATTTCGAAGTCATTTTACAGCCATTTTTCATGTTTCCTTATTGAAATTTTCAGGCTTATCCGGCTCCTGGTGCTATTTATGTGAATACTCCATTGGATATAATCCCATTATTCCAAAGAGGTGGTACCATTATTCCGATTAGAAGGCGTATTCGTAGATCGTCTGCTTTGATGCGACAAGATCCTATCACACTTTATATTGCGAGTAATTACAAAGTAAGATCTTAAATTCATAGCTTTTTTGTTATTTTTGCTTATGTGAAAAGCAATGAAAAGATTATTAAAGATTATTATATTAAAATGGAATATGTTTATTTTCAAAGGATGATTTTGCAACTGGCTCCTTATATTTGGATGATGGTGAATCATTCGAACATTTGAATGGTGAATTCTTGTACTTCAGCTTTATATATAAAAAAGAAGGTGATCAACTTTATTCAATTTCATCTCAAAATTTGAATGGAAGAGGAAAAATGAAAAACGATGTGTATATCGAAAAGATCGTCATTCGTGGTGTACGATATTTTCCCACCCGTGTTCACATATTTCTAGATGGTATGTATATATTAATCATGTTTATTATATTATACTTATACTAATATTATATATTATACTTTTAGATTTTTGGTCAAGTTTTTTATTTTGGCACAAATAAATTCATTATTGGCATATTTATTCAATCTGAAAAAACGTTTTTTGTATCATTTTAATTTTAAAAATTTTAAGATTGGAATCCTGAATCGCTTGACTTTGATCACGACCGTGATCTGCAAACTTTAGTAATTCATCGAACAAATGCACCAGTATCAGCTGAATTTCGTATTGATATTCACGCATAAAAAAATAATAAAACGGATCCTTTGTTAGACATAGGAGATATTCATTCATTTGCCCAGTATATCGGTTTTATTATAGTTTTGATATTTTCTTTGACCAACATTTTCAACCTTACGAAAGCTTTTACAGGAATCTTCATTGACTAATATCGACTCATTTTTTCGTTCACTTCTTATATTCTTACTTCCGTTTTGAATTGTTTTATTTATTTTTCTATTCTGTTTCAGATGGTATTAGTCGTTCATACATTTTTTTTTTGAATTATCTTTAACTTTGGTCTTTTTGAAATCTTGGTTGAAATTTTTTATTGCGAATTATCCAAAATCTTATACGAAATAGCTCACTGTTTCAATTGATGACTTTTGATGATTGTTTTCTATTAGGTCTTCTTCATTTATATAGTATTTATAGTATTTTAACTATTTGCTATTTATGATTTAACTAATTTTTTTTTTAATTAATTATTTATATCAATTTTGATTAATGTCAGTTTTTTAATCCTGTCAATTTTGATTTGGTATTTCATAATGAAGCTACTTTGTTCTGTGGGTCATTCTCAATAAGATTACTTTTAATAAATTACACATTTAGTTACACATTTACCAAGAAAGTAAGGTGAGAAAGGTATAAAATTGCAATATAAGACACATTTACTGCATATATTTAAAATAAATATTATCATATTCGCTCATCTAGTAATTTTAATGTGATTAGGACTTCTTAATAAATTTCTTTTTAATAGATTTCTTTTTAACGGAAAGCTATTCCGTTCTGTATCTATTGTCTATTCTGGATAACAAATTCCTAGTTTTTCAGGAAATTGTATGACGCAGCTGACTTAATGGTACCTAAAATGGCAGTTGGTCTATGAATAAGGAAAAAATATTCACAACCATAAAACTAAAACAGGACTTTGGCTTGAAAGCTGTCTAGTAAAGTGAATAGAAATCAATGTGAAAGTGGAAGTTTTAAATTTCATTAATTTCAAGCACCTTCCCGATTTTCAGTTCTATTTTCAATAGAACTGAAAGACGTTCCAAATTTTTTTTGTATTTCTAACCTATTATAGCACAAGAAGTAGTTCGGAATTGTTAGTTATGGAAAGGTGTAATGCGAATTTTGATCACGTCTTTCGAAAACCAATGTTACCACAGGTTGCCATGCAATCTTCCATTGTGTTAAAATTATTTAGGTTACCTCCACATCCGGTGTATTGAAATGGCGTACACTGGTTCTAAAATATTCAATGTTGAAAGTATTGAATTTTGTTGAGTTGAAAATTTCTATATCTAAAATATATCTTTATTTTTTTATAAATGATATGCTTTCTTGTGTTCGAGTAACGAAATTTATTCCATCCATCTTCACTGGTTTCCTCCTCTTTCGATTTCCAAATTTTTCTCTTCATTGACTCATTGACTTTAAGGACAGGACTTTTTATCACTTCCATTATTCAGCGATATAAATTTATACTATTTCAAAAAGTAATATGAGAGGTAATCGTTATGTCCTTAAGAAACAAGATTTTATGGAAATAGTTATACTCAAATGAATGGAAGAAGAGGCAACCGACCGATTGGCGATTGAACGCATAACGAGTTTGTCTTCCACCACATGCACCAGGATCAACTGATAAAAGACAGAGTTCAGCTAAAATTATGGCAATAAAGTGAACAGCTGGAACAGCTTCGAAAACACAGGTGTGTTAAAAAGTTTGGCAAAGCTAATCGATATATAATATACCTGGGCAAGTGCGAGAGCATTCGGCTTGCGATTCAAAGTTGTTTTGGTTACCTCGTCTACCATTGTACTGGAAAGGTAAGCAAGTCCGGTCATCCGCACTGTAGTACCAACGGGACAAACCGTCATTCCCAGTTCCGGGAGCAAGTGGAACTGAGCATGGGTTCGTAGCTAAAATCATATTTTTCTTACCAATGCAAAGGTAAATGCGCTGAATGTAGCCAAAACTATTGAAAGTATATTAACAAAGAATGAAACTAAAAACTGATTTGATTTGCATGACTGGTATTTTTTAATTTGGCTTATAAAGAGATGGAATAAGATGGAATGCACACCTCCAGGACAGCATACAGTTGTCTCGGCGACCGAACCCACATGACACCAAAAATTAACTGGACAAGTATCCTTATTAGTCGATGAACAAAATATCACATGTCCAGCTTCTGTAGTTGCCGGTTGTCCACTACATGGGTTTTCTAAGGCCTCGCACTGAAGTCGGCATTTACCCTGAATTCTTTTATCGAATTGGTCTTTCGGTAAATACATTATTGGTTATTTAGCTCTATAAATTATAAATTATCCAATGGAATGCTATAAAGACGGAGACAAGGCAAAATCGAAAAATAGTGTGATTCCAGGTTATAATTCCATGTAAATATGGCGCCATTAATACAGTATGATAATATAAATTTTGTATAATACAATAATAAAGATAACTCGAATCTTCCTTAATATATTTTAAATTTGAGCAAACCAATGTCAAAAAATTATTCTGATTCCCTTTCAATCCTTTATAAACAAATGTACGACAGGATCTCGAAAGAATATCGTAATAAAAACGCTCGACATTCGCATTACCTTCACCAGCCGCAAGAGGTAAATTGCAAGGATTTGCATTTGCTGTAAAGGCTATTTAATTATTCAGTCTTCAGGATGCAAATAGTACTGATGATATTTAATTATTCAGTTGTATCAAGGGATAGCGGTGGAACACATGCTCGAAAAGTCGAAGAGATCCATTTCTGATTCATAGGTGCTAGTTTGTACTCAACATAGCCTTAAAAATTGGAAAATTACCTCCAGGACAACAAACAGTTGTTAATGGTCTTGCTCCCAGATGACACCAATAGTTACCAATACAAGAATTTGTTAAAGAGTTTGCATTACAACCTTGCCATTTGCCATCGAGTCGAACCATAGGTGAACCTAGAATATGATTTTTAATGTAACGGAAAATGATTTACTAATATTAGTTGTAAGTAATTAAATAAGTAGTAAGTGCCATTTTTGGTCAGGTTAACTTTGCTGGCTGTTCGCATGGTCAAAAAATAGTATCAAGGAATCATTCATTTGCTGATGGCTATCATTGTGTGTACCTGGTTTTAGTACCTTTAGTACCTAGCTGTACCTGGTTTTTATAATGGGAAATTCACTTCTCCGACGGGAGGATCAGATCCCCTGCATACTAACACGGCAATTTGAGTCACTGTCCACTCGACCATTCTACGTAAATATAATCGTAAGAAATTTTTTCACCTTGATTAAACAATAAAAGGAGATATTCACATTTTGATTATAAGGGAAATTTAATATTTCTTTGGGAATAATCACTATTACCTTTTTTTTTTTAAAGTCCTCATCATTACTAATTAAACTCGCTCCACTAGCATTGAGCAATATGCCAGGGAATCCAAAGAGTTCCCTTGGTGATGGCAATAAAAGTGCAGGTGAATTGCTAACGTCATTCGGATTTTTGGGCAGGTTCACTCCTACCAGGATTCTGAATTGAGCAACACTATCAACTGAGCAATTTACTCTCCTTTGTTTTTCTTTGTTAGGTAACAATACCGCCCGGCGAAGAATGAGTGCATCGGCCGATTCGAACCCAAGCGTCGATTCTCGTTGGTAATTACCCTGCCACTGAGCTTCCGGCTTCTTTTTTTAAATGGTCCTCACCATTACTGGTTAGACTCGCTCCACTGGCTTGTCGCATTAGGCAACATGCCAGGAAGATAGAAATAAGTGAGTCGCCAGTATCACCCGGACTTTTGCCCAGGTTTACTCCTGTGGGAATCGAAACCCAGCGTCGGCACTCCCAATTGAACAACAACTCACTGAGCCATTCTATCCCATACTAGCTCTTATAGTTAGCAATAATAATTAAAAAATGAAATTTCTGCGAAAAAGCGTTTGAGATATCAAGAAATGCCTTTTGAAGGCTTGTCAAAGTTAAAAAAATTTAAAAGGACAAAAAACTCGCCTTCAAGACATGGGTTTGGTGGGCATATTTCTTCACACTCCTGTCGTGTCAAAAAGTTATTTTGGTTTCCTTTCACTCCACTGTAGATAAATATTTGGCATACCTCAGCCTGTTGATTAAAATACCAACGTTCCAGAATATTAGCGCCATTTCCAGTAGCCATAGGCAATGTACATATATTTCCCTCTAAATTTTGGCAGTATATTTTTCATAATTTGTAATAAAATTATACACTGCATAAAATAGTGCAAAATTGAGTAATAAAATTTTACCGCTGGGGCAACATAAAGTTGTCTGTGCATTAGCTCCAATGTGGCAATAGCTTCGTTGACCGCAATTATTTGAGCTAGGCGAACAAAACTGAGGAGCACCAATTAGAGGCAGATTACATGGATTTATGAAACCTAAAAATTATTTTAGCAAAAATAGTTTCTTTTTCAATGTTCTCGCTATGAAATATTAAGCGATTACATTATATAGATTTTTCTTTTAAAACTGAGCTAAAAATTAAATGATTGTTTAATAGCGATTCTTCAATCCATGGTTGTAAAAAAAAGGCAGATGATAAATTAAACTATTTTAATGGAATCATTGAAAGGCAAGAAGGCCCGGCCCCACTAGATTGTTGGACAATTTAATTTTCATTTTCGACCATCATAACCACATTCCCCTTGCCTATATGCTCAAATTTAGCATAGGTTACGGAAGATTATAAAATGGCCGGAGCGCCATGATTATGAAAAAAAAAGAATAATAAAAGAATGAAGCATTTACCTATCTATTCATTCTTCAATCATCTATAAATTATATGGAATTTACAATTTTCAAACAAAAAATAAGACATGCAAACAAAAAAGGAACCATTTAGACTTCTGAAGAGAAAATATCATTTTAATTATTTAAATCACCTGGACAAGATTGCTCGCACTGCTGTTCAGTGAGGAAATTATTCTGGTTGCCAAAAAGCCCATTATATATGAAAAAAATGCATTTTTGAGTAGCTTCATTGAAATACCATCGTTGCAGATTAGCTTGACCAGTTCCAACAGCCATCGGTTGCTTACAGATCGCATCACCAATTACTTAATTTAATAATTTTTCCGATTCTTCTTGCCTCCTATCCATTTATCTTTTATCATCACCACTGATTGGTTAAGAATGAAAGAAAGTGGACATGGATACATTTTCATGATTTGAATTTACCAGTGAAAGAATGCAGAAAACAAAGTACCACCATAACTGTTACGATTTCGCTATTCTACTTAATATAACATAGTTTTAAAAATAGCAATTTGCTAATTGTTAGTCGAATGTATGAGAATAAAATTTCTCTATATTCTTAAAATATTTGGCAAAAGCATGAGACCTTGTCCAGGGCAACAAACAGTGTTTTTAATTGTACCAATATGGCACCAGTAGCCCGATGAACAAATATTTGGTCCTGTATTACACGATAAGAAACGCTTGTCTGGACTCAGCTGAGGTTGCCCAAGAGCGCAAGGATTTTCAGGAACTTGAAAACAATAATTGATTGGTTAATTTAAATGTTTTTATTTTATTTAGACAAATCATCCCTAATATCTGGTTGCTTCAAACCATAAAAAAACTGCTAAAGATAAATCAGACTGAGATTTTCATGGAAATAAAAGGGGGAACAAATCAGCAGTCTCGAATAAAAAATACAGTTACCACAGTTAATGCATGGATCTGTGTGCATGTATGTCCGTATGTTTGTGTTTTTGTACGAGCCCGTTAAATATCCTTTTAATCAACTATAACTCGTGGAACGATTAGTGAAATAGTAAGCAATGGGCGTAGCTGTTAAGAATATAAGGATCGCCTCATAAGATGGAAGGAATTCTTTGAGGACAAACTTAATCATGATGTGGTCGCTATCTGTAGCCCCGGATATAGCTGATACGTTCGTCGAACCATGCAACTGCGAGCCGCCAATAGAAGAAGAAATAATTTCCTTAATCCATAAGCTTAAGACCAGTAAAGCTCCGGGAAAAGATGGTTTTTGGGCTGAATTCTTCAAATGTTGTCCATCGTCCTTCATAACGCACCTTCAACAAATACACTCTCAATAAATACACGGTTTGAAAAAAAGAAATATTACCAGAAGATTGGAGCAAATCAATTCTGCTCCCAATTTTCAAGAAAGAAGATAGGACATATTGCTACAGTTATAGAGGAATCAGCCTACTAGACGTCTGGGCGAAAATTTTTGCTTCCCTTTTACTCAACAGAATTATGGAAGTATGGGACAGCGGGATGCGCCCAAATCAAACTGGGTTCAAACCAGGGCACGGTTGTGTTGACCAGATATTCACGTTAAGAAGTGTTGGAACATCGCTTCAGATATTTGCAACCTACTGTCACATGTTTCATAGATCTTGCGGCTGCTTTTGATTCAATTGATAGAGCGGTGCTTTGGAGGGTGATGAAACGCAAAGGTATTCCAGAGAAAATCATTAGACTCATAAAGGCATTTTATGAGCGCACGTTGGAGCAAGTCTGTGTATATGAGGAGCTGACAGATTCCTTCGAAACAAGAACAGGTGCCCGCAGGGCTGCGTCCTTCTCTCCACAATATTCCATTATGCGATAGACTAGATAATGGACTCCGCTTGTCGGCACTCAAGAGGTGTCCAAATCAGTCCAGAAAATCATATCATAGATCTTGAAAACGTTGATGATGTAGTCGTTATGACGAAATGCAAATAATGCTAAACAAATTTTTAACAATTGCATGGAGAATTAGACTCAGAGCCAATCTAAATAAAACGAAAGCGTTCGTTTTGCACAGAAAATGCTGATAAAATATGTATTTTTATAAACTCATTACCGGTTGAGGAGGTGCCCGATTTTAACCTAATCTATTCTAACACCGAATAGCCAGCAAAAGACGGAATTACAGCCCGGACATTTGTAGCTAGAAATGTATCCTTCCGGTTGACGAAATCTTTATGGAGCCGCCGCGAGATCACCATGAAGACTAAAGTCCGCATCCATAGCCTATATAATCGCGTTCGATCTTGCTATATAGCTGCGAGATATGACCAATGAGAGTGGAGGATATTAAGGAGCTTTCTGCTTCTCATCACTCAGGTTCATTTTACGAGTACATAAAATCTCACATGATTGCATACACCTTCATTCAAATATCAATTGCATTAATAGTACCATCACAGAGCGTCCCATCGCTGGTTTGAATTCTTACTTTCTTACCTTCCGAAGGAGTTAACACATATTTCGTTACTTGCTAAATTCAAATTGTAAATTCTATGATAGATGGCGAGGAAGCCCTACAAGATTTGGACTCCGGTCAGAAAAGGTCTTGAACGTATAAGTGGACCAGCAATATATGGACTTAGACGATGGAAGAAGGAATGGCTGCTATTACTGTCGACGATGGCATCAGACCACGCCGCTTGGAAGCTTAACCATTAGAGTTAGCTTAACAAGTAATGCTGTGAGCTGTTAGAAGAAGAAGATATTACCTTAATCCGATGTACACCATTATAGCCCTTTAACAAAATCTTCCCCAAAGTCTATTGTAACCCATTTGCTTCAAAATTAATCTAATTAATTTAATTCCACCAAACATTATACTCTCTGAACATATAATATTAATGAATTTAAAAAACGACACTTCTTGCAAAATCTTGGCTCATTATATTGGAGCCGAGTGATATCTCTTAAAATTTTTTATATTTTATGAGCATTCCATCATCAATCACCTCTTTAATATCATAAAACTACTGATCTTTGACCATAATCCGTTAGTAACACTAACTCCTTTTTGTAGCTTTCATTTTCTCATACTACATTACCCAATCTCCATTTTATTTTTTTGACGCGAATCTCATAATGTACTTTTGCTGCATTATCAGCTAAAGCCACAAAAAATAAAATGATGGTGACTTAGCTACCTCGAAGATTATAATGGGTATTGAAGACTGTTGAGGAAGAAGAATTTTGGATATTATGTGAATATAAAAGCAGTAGTGATTGAAAAGATTTCAAGGGAATATGACGAGTTTTAAGATAAAAGGATGTACCAGGGAAAACAATTTTGCTCGACCTAGAGTGTGTTTTTACTAGGTTAATAAATAAATAAAATTTAAATATTCTTCAATCTGGCTGCATAAATCGCTCGATATAACTCACATGAAAAACTGTTTTTTAAAAGACTACGGCAAAAGAACTCCTTAAAGTAAATAACAATGAAATAATTACCATAGCAAGCATTTTCACAAATTTGTTTCGAAATAAAATTGTTTTGATTTCCCATGAGGCCATTATAAAGGAATGGCATGCATTGCCTATTAACAACATTCCAATACCACCGTTGAAGTTGAGCGTTGCCTCGGCCAGCGTCCACCACCTGAATGCAGGCATCATTACCTGAAACAATATTTTTTTTGGAAAAATTATTGAATGGGATGATTGGGAAGATCGCTTTTTCTCAGTTTGGCAAAGTTGCATTTAAACGATAATTCCAGCAAGTACTTCGAGGAGAATAGTTCCACAGAATAAATTAAGCAAATAAAAGTAAGGTGAATGAAATAGATATTAACATGCACACCGCATTTCATTAAATGCAGTGGATGGAAACGTCAAGATAACCTTTCAGATTCCTTGCATAGATTTCAAAAAAAGGATAAGATTATTCTTAAAGTGGTTTTTAATTTGCCATTTGTTGTTAAAAATTAAAATCAAGGATCTCAATCACGGCAAAGCAAATATAAATTCAAACATGCATATATGCATCAAATCCTCTAAATTTGTTTGTAATGTTGATTTAAAGTGACGCTTGATTTAACCAAAAATTTCCTGTAATTTTCATGTACCAGCAAAAAATTTCATTATCCTTTTCGGAAGCCTGAAATAAATTCTTGGTAAATAATAGCGTCGATTATTTCCATCAATAAATAGATAAGCCATCACACTTGATCAATTTTTTGCAACCAGTTGGCTCAACTGGAAAATACTAGATTATTCTTTGATAATCAATATGACAAAAAGCTAAACTACTCTTGACTAAAGAAAACTTAGTAATGATAGTTAGATGCATTTTTATTATACAGGTGGAAAATTAGAATTGAAAAGTTTTGGATCATTTCCGTACATTAGAAAAAGCCTCATGCAAAGGCTATATTCACCGTTATGGAATAAGGAGCAAATACCATGTGACTGGAGCAAATTAGACTCCCATTTCACGATAAAAGTGGTAGGACGGCGAAAACTATCGAGGAATCAGTTTTCTAGACTTCTTTGAAAGGTTTTTTCTCCTTATTGTTGAATAGACTAGTGGCAGATATACCCTAATAAAACCAAATTAATCTGGATTATTCATATGGTATGTCATATAGTTTATTTTTATCATAGGTTTTAAGTTAAATAACTGACTGGCTCCAAGATAGGCAGCTTATTTTTTTCACTGATTAATGTGTGGCCTATACAAGTAATATTTTATTAAAACATTAAATTAAGTATCGGATCATGTTCAGATTTTAAACTCCACCATAGATTATAATTTTAAAAAGTTACAAAGTTATAAAAATTTATACATCCAAATTAAATCTAGTACTCAATTTGATCAAAAATAAAAGTAAATTTCTTATTGCTATTTATAAGCATTCATTCGACTCATTTGAATATATCACTACCAAAATTTATGAGATGGACTTAATTAACTGGTGAACTGCATAGGTATTTTTTAAACAAGTTAAATTTAGATTATTCCATTACTTATATTATAGAACTCATGCAACTTGATTTGAATTTGCTGCCTGTTAAATGAATTAATCAAGACTCCATTTCTTGTAAAATTTTATATGGACAATAAATTGGATAAATAAATAAATTGTAATAAGTTTTAATGAACTCAGTATAAATTCAAATTTTGCGAGATCCAATGGATTAATATCACTAAAACATTTCTACAATCCAAATGAAAAGTTTTAAGATTTCCTTTTTCATATTTCCCTTTACTTTAATAAATTAATACCAGCAGATGTTGGTACGCCTTATCTGGTTCCATTGTGTAAATGGCTGCAAAAAAATGAGAAGGAAGAGTGGGGTATTGAAATGAAATAATCAAAAATCTGGGCTCACTATGGGTTTATCACTGTTTTTTATCTAGCCCGAGCAGGAATGATTTTTGGTGGATCTTCACGCTGCAGCAGAACCTCAATGCAAATCTCTAAAAAAATTAATCGGAAAGATATTGGTTTAAATTTTTATTTAACGATATAATTTTAAGAACTGATCAATTCATTGGCTGTATTTCTTCGTAGTTTAATATATATTTTTTTCAACTGGAATAAGCAAAGAAGTTTATTTCATCGTTTTTCTGAAAACTGACTTCATAAAAAGCTAAACCTAAAATTTCATTTCTTAGTATTTTCTTCGTATAAGTAAAATTTCTTAGTATATTTATTTCGTAACAAGCGATGAAATAAAAGCGAGAAAACAATATTCTTGTAACTACTAGAAATAAATTGAAGATGAATTTTTAAAAATTAAAAATTTAAGAATTTTTATCATTTATGGTTCCCAATCGTTGGTCATTGATGTAAGCACTTGAAGAGATGGTCGTTGGTATGACTGTTTCGATATAGCGTTGAGTATCAGAGGTCTGATTAAAAATCTAAGCGGCACTAACGATCCATCAATATATTCTTCTTCTTCTAAAAGTTATCACCATCATTGGTTAGTTCCAACGTGGGTACAAGAGTAAGATGTTTCCAAGATGCGCGATCTAACGCCATCATTAATAGAAGCCATTACTTTTTCCATCGTCTAAGTCCATATATCGATGGTCCACCTATACGTTCAAAATCTTTCATGACTGTATCATTCCAAGCCTTGATTGGCTCTCCTCGTTTTTGACGCCACCCATCATGGGGTTTAGCAAATAATGAAATATGCGTCAACTCCTGTGGTGGATGATGGAGAACGTGCCCTAACTAGCGAAGGCGACGCTTTGTGATAAGATTATTAATGCTAGTGGTATTTGAACGAAGCTTTATGCAATGATATATTTTATCCGCTCGACGGACCCGTAAAATGTACCTTAGACGTAAAGAGTGGTCAAAGGCAGATAAATTTTTAATATCCTCCACTCTCATTGCCAATGTTTCAGAGCCATATAGAAAGATCGAAAGAATCACGGCTATATAGATAGGCTTTCGTTTTTATAGTGATTTCACGACGGCTTCATAAAGGTTTCGTTATCCGGAAGAATGCATTTCTAACTGCCGTGATTCGAGTTGTAATATCGTCTTTTGCCTGGCGATTTGGTAATAGAGTGGACCCAATGTATTCGGGCACTTCCTCAATCGGCAATGAATTTATAAAAAGAAGCATTTTATCAGCTTCTTGCATATAAAACGAAAAGACTTTCGTTTTATTTACATTGACCCTGAGTCCAATTCTCGCTGCAGTTTTTGGGACATTGTTTAGCATTATTTGCATTTCGTCATAACTGTCAACAAAAAAGACTACATCATGCACTAGACTGATTTGTACACCTTTTGAAAAGCGATGCCCATTTCGAAGAAGCCAGTCAGTTCCCCATATATATAGGCCTAGGTCGATGATGAATTGCCTTTATGAATCAAATGAACCTCTCTGTAATATTTTTCTCATTCTCTAAAGCGCCGTTCTTTCAATTGAATCAAAGGCAGCTACAGAGTCGATGAAACACGCAACGGTGGTTGCACATATTTAAAGCGATTTAAGCTTATGGATAGCAGATATTATTTCTTTTTCTGTCGGGGAATTGCAAGCATATGGTTAGCGAACGTACCAGTTATATCAGGGGTAACAGGTGGCATTTCATGGTTAAATTTATCCTCAAAGAATTCTTTCCATCTTATGAATCGGTTCTTAATACTCTTAATCGGCACACCATTGCTGTCCCTTACCATTTCACTGATCGTGCCCGGAGATACAGTTGCTTTATGAAGACGGCGGAGTAGTTTCCTAATATCGCAGTTTCCATTCTCCATTCTCAAGGCCATGTCACTCCAACAGTGATTTCTATTCAGCAGTGCTGCTTTCGTTGCAAATGTTCGAAGCATCCGGTAGTCCGGATCACCTGACATTGTACTTTGGCGCTGTTTTTTCAAGCAGTTGGGCAATTGCTTCCGATACCCAACTAGCGCACTTCCTACTAGTATGCCCTAGAGTCGAACTGGTTGATTTTCAGAGACATTCCTTTATTCTCACCTGTATATTGTTAAAAAATTTTTGATCGTGCTAAACCACAGAAACAGCCATTTACTTCCTCTACTAATACGAATTTAATTACTATCGATTTAAAAAGAATAAGAATTGAAGACACTTAAAAAAATTTTATCAAACAAGCTGCTGCTGTGTCATAATGGTATTTGGAATTTTAAAAATTTAGGAATCTAGTAAATGGAAATCAGTTGTGATAAATTTTCATTACTACGAAATATAAAAGTAAAATATAAATAAATATATATGTAATATAAAAATATAAGTCTAGTATAAAAATAAACGTAAAATATAAAATATATAAAATATAATATAAAAAAATAAAAAATATAAAATTAAAGTGGGTGAGTAAAAGCAAATGAAAGTAAAGCAAAATTAAATAAAAGTATTTTTAAATATTTAAAAACTCAAGATGCTAAAAATAACGAACCTGCTTGGAATTTGCTTTTCATTCTTTTGAACTTGATTGCACATCAAGGATCATTTGCCATTAGAATCAAAATTATCAGAAAATAATGGGCAGAGTGGTCGAATCGTGGTTGTTTCTTGGATGATCATTTTGAGCAACATGGTTCGGCATTGCTCTGATAGGAGTAAATTTGTCATCAACAAGTCCGGATGGTACCAGAGGCCTGTCTTTACTTCCATCTCCAAGTGTATTTAGGGTAAAGTGACCCTGTGTAACAGGCTAAAAAGTGGAGCGAATGCAAAAACAGAAATGACCTAAAATTCAAAAGCACCAATAAGATGCAAAAGATTTCATCACCTTCTTCTTCTAACAGTTCTCACCATTATTGGTGAGGCTGGCTCCGCTGGCTAAGACGTCTCTAAGCTGCTCGGTCCATCGCTAATAATAGAAGCCATTCCTTTTTCCATAGTCTAAGTCCATAAATCGCTGGTCCTCCTATACATTCAAAGTCTTTCCTGACTGTATCAGTCGAAGTATTGATTGGTCCTTCTCGCTTTTGACGCCACCCATCAGGGTTTAGTAAGTAATCTAATATGCCTAAACTCCTGTGGTGAACGAAAGAGAACGCGCCCTAACCAGCGAAGGCAACCTGTGATAACATCATTAATACAGGTGGTATTTGAGTGAAGATGGATATAATCACGTGCGATTTTATTCGCTTGATGAATGCGTAAAATATATCTTAGATATGGGTGGCCAAGGCTGATAGCTTCTTAATATCTTCCACTCTCATTGGCCATATTTCGCAACCATATAGCAAAATCAAGCGAATTGCAGCTATTTCGTCTTCATGGTGATCTTGCAGCGGTTCTCATAAAGATTTCCCGGAAAAACACATTCTGTTGTTATCCGAGTCACAATTTCATTCTTTTGGGATTAGAGTGGATCCAAGGTATTTAAAGTCAAGCACTTCCTCAACTGGTAACGAACTGATAACAATAAGTATTTTTTCAGCATCTTATATATAAAAGGAAAACATTTTCGTTTTATTTACATTGATTTTGATTAGCATATTTACATTGATGTTTACATTGATCCAATTCTCGGTGCAGTTGTTGGCACATTGTTTAACATTATTTGTATTTCCTTATAACTACCAGCAAAAAGGACTACATTATCAAAGTATTCAAGATCTGTGATACGATGCTCTGGACTGATTTGTACATTTCTTGAATACGAAAAACGGTGTCCATTATTTAGTCTATCGCGTAATTGAATATTGTAGGGTAAAAGATGCAGCCCAGACGGACACTAGTTCTTATTTCGAAGAAGTCTATCAGTTCCCCACAGATCTGCGCCATGATATGTTGATAAAATGCCTTTATAAGCCGAATGAGACACCGTCACATTCCATTACTTTCCAGAGCACTACTCTATCAAACGATTCGAAGGCAGCTGCAAAATCGATAAAGCAAGTGACGGTGAGAACTCATCTGCATGATTTTATTTGGTCATAGTAAATTAATTGACTCTAAACTAGCGTAAAAAATGTTTAAAAAACTATTGAAAAGCTTCATATTACACAAGCATATTCAAGCAAATCATGCATATAATCTTAACATGCAATTTTCATTTCATGCGCACTGGAAATTTTACCAAGTATTTGGCAACAAACAGTAGTTTGAGCATTTGCACCAATGTGACAAAAATAGCCGTTTGGGCACATAATTTGTTGATTAGTCGCTGAACATTGCAGGAAAATCCCTTGACTTCGGTATGGTATTCCGTGTTTACAAGGATTTGCTAAAGATTATTATAGCATATTTCCCAATCTTTCGAAAGAAATAAACAATGAATATTCATAAGTGGTAAATTATCTCATTCTAATGTTGAATTTAAAAGAAAAATTCTTAGCAAGCTGTTTTTTAAGCTGTTTTTCTTGAGAAAATAAGCTCTTGTGGTTTTGATTTCCGGTTCCATAATATAGATTAATATAGATTCCTAAACAATTGACTAAATAAGATTTTAACTGATGCAAATTGCTACTGTACTATTAATTACTAATTGCTAAACTGATTAGGTTAAAAAAATAAAACAAACAGCAATGCGTACCGAAACATGAAGCCTCGCATTCCTGTTGAGTGAGGAAATTATTTTCATTTCCTTGAAGGCCTTGGTATGCGAAAGTTTGGCATTGTTGCGTGACTGAGTTGAAATACCATCGCTGAAGATTGGTGTTACCGATTCCGACATGCAGAGGTTGGTTGCAACGATCGATATTAGCTGAGATGTGTATCGTAAATAAGTTCACGAAAAATAAAAATGCCTTGTAAAAAATGCCTTGGCGCGAAAAAGCATGAATCTCTCTGTCCAACTAAACCTACTCCTTTTCGATTCAGTTAATTCCAGTCGTCCCGAATAATAATGTTAGATGGTATAAGTTCTCAAAGCTCTTAGGCTGATTTTATGAGGGAATTGCAGTGTAAAAACTGATTTGAATTGCTGTGCTTTATTCATTAGATAAAATATATATTTGATTAAAGTTGTATTAACGACTGCTGGCAAGATATGCGTGAACATAACCAATTCCTTTTTTTTCATCTCGAAAAGAACGTTTCTGAAGCGAAAAAATGGACTGACGAAGCTTATAGATGGAAAAGTTGGTAACAGCATGTGCAAGGAATGATTCGTAAAACTCAAGTAAGAAACCTTTGATCTTCAAGGCAAGCCAAAAGCAGACCATAGAAGTTCACCACTGATCAAGTGCAAGCACTACTTGATGAAGACTCACACTGAACAATATTGGAATTGGTACAACTATTAGGATATTATCATTCATTCTTCAATAGTACAAAGATTTCACGCTGAGCACGCTGAAAATTCAAAAAGTTGGGAAGTCGGTGCTATATATGACGGAAACATGAAACTGTCTGAATACTTGTTTCTCTTTTTGCGAGATATATAAGAAATTTTTGTGGAAGATGTCAGAGAGAGAAGTGGATTTACTATGACAAATCCTAAGCGCTGAAAATCATGAGTTGGCCAAGGATAACTAGAAACATCAGCGGCGAAACCAACTTGTTCCGAAAAAAGTCTTCTGTGTGTGGTGAGATTGCAAAGATGTTCTATATTGTGAGTGTTGAAAGCTGATGAAATTTACTGCCGAATACTAAAATTTTCAAAGCTTAAAGGCAATTATCGAAAAAAAACGTCCAATTGCAGGGTAAAGAACTAGGCAAATAATTCGCCTACATGACAACCCTTACCCACATGGCAATATCAACACATGAAACCAATACTATGACAAATCCATTACCATTACTATGGGTTTAGGTTGAGAAGTTTTTCCACCCACGACATCCCAGGTCCTCATCAGATATTGATGAAAAACTTATAAGCCCCATCGGATAATCATTGTCGCGAAATGCGATGTTTTCTACTATTTCAAATTTGCCTTTCATTTGCCCGACAAATAAAGACTTTCATCAACTCATTAATTCTTTACTTTCAAATATGTCAATAAAAGATAAAGGTCAATTTGCAGTATATATTGTATATCCTTCTCAAGAAAATTGTTCTTTTCTTATTTTGGTGCCACCAAGAGACCCGAGCTGTTGGGTCCCAATATTTCAATATTCAATATTTTGTTATTTAATGTCTTTTATTTATTCATTTCTTATTTGTTCTGAGATAGCTATTTTTTAGCCTATGGGCTTAATTTATATCGAATATTGCTTTTTCTTATCAGTATATTACTGAGATTTAATTAACCAAGTTTGAGGTGGCGAATAAAATTTAATTCGAGCGGTGATCATTGCTTATTCTACTGCCCTGATAAAGCAGCCGGATAAAGGTTATTCTAAAATAAATAATGCGTGGCAGGCGAGCAAAATTCCACTGCTTCCAAATATCAATCTATTTTTACAATTGTCTTTTCCCAATAAACCAATTTACCAGTTGTCACATAGATGGCTGAGAAACCAATAAGCCTTATCTGATCAGTGTTTTGAAAATTTAGACGAAGTTCGAAATTTCATCGGTGCCTTTTTTTATTCAAGGCGAGATGCATATATTATTACGGTGAAATTTACCAGTTTCCAGATAGATGGCTGAGAAGGAAAACTTCAATGACCAATTAATTTATGCTTGTATTTTATAACTAATTTTTAATTTAATTTTTAATTTTTAATAAACGCTGGCAACTTATACGCACATCCAATCTATTATTCAAATTTCACTTAAATTTAGCATTTAAGATTTGAAATGCCATTATCACTGAAAAACTTATTCAGTAAATATATGGACTGCATCAACCATTATCAAGAAGACATTTCATAAATAAACATGGTGAAAGAAGCCAGAGTTAAAAGCTCACGAGGCTTGTTACAACAGATTGTGGTTGCTATTGTGGCTCCGATATGGCAAAATTGTTGCACACCACAAATATTTGAAACTTGTGGTGAATTGTTACACTGAATTCGCGATTCTGTCGTACCATAAGCACAGGGATTAAGAGGCTCTGAATAATTTGCATTTGATTAATTCCATAAGATTTCTGGTGAGATGAATATTTGGTGCAATTCTGACACGATAATTTTATCTTCTGGCTTTAGCTTTTTAATATTTTTTTTCTTAATCCTTTTCTCAATTCTTTCTGAGAATAAATTTAAGAAAGCACCAACCTTCGCAAGTTTTCCAACAGTTCTGGAATGTTTCAAAGTTATTTCTATTTTCGCAGCATCCAGACCAATAAAATAGTTCACACTGCGTACTAATTGGATTGTAATACCACCGAGGGATTTTATATGGTCCAATGCCAATTTGTTGCGGTTCATTACATACAACAATTTCAGATGTGTAACCTAAATGATTCTGACGCAATTTAATAATCCAAAATTTTTTGTATTAATGATATTGCAATGACCTACCTGATTGTTTGCAATAAAATTTTTAATGAAAGCTTTTCCAGTTTTTATCTAAAATAAAGGAGATCATTTAAATTTCTCAAAAAATTATTCACTCTACTTATCTATAATACTTGTTTAATGTGTGGACATATATCTCTGCTTGTGTCCATTTTCGAAAAAAAGACCCTAGCCACAAACTGCGAAGTCGCAGTCCCTCGTGGTAGGCTAAAGTTCCAGACCTCACATAAAAAGTTGCAAACTAGAAATTATTGATAGTTAGTTAAGTAGATATCAAACTACCATAAAAACAGCGTTTCCCAAACTTTTTTCCGCCACGGAACATTTGTAAATTATAAACTGCAATATGGTTGTGGACATTTAAATTGGATTTCTGGTTGGAATTTGGTATAAAACAAACGAAATACTTTCGAGTGTTTATGTATATATAAAAAAGTGTTTAAAATGAATATAATATATCACTCATAAAAATTATGAAAAAATTTTAAATCGTTCGAGAATGCATTTTTGAAAAGAAGTAGGATTTTAATGATCTCGACATCTTCGAATCGCAAATAGAAATCAAATTTGAATTTTATCAATTCCTGCTTTTATCTACTTATTTTTTTTATACTCAAATTTAGAAAAACAGTCCAACGTTTTATTAAATTTAAGTAAAAAACCCTAAAGTATTTATAGAAAAAAAATAAAGTTAGGGATAGATTTTTGTGTAATTTCAAAGAGCTATGGATTTTCTACTGTTTGGAGACAGTTTTAAAAAATTTGTTATTCAACTCAAAATACTCATAATTAAGTCTCATTTGTCACAGTTTGAGGAATATTGACTTAAAGCTATTCAAGTCAATTAACAACTGTCTATCAGATATAGCACTAGTTAAATCTGGAGTGCTTCTGCGAGATATGTTGGCCATTTATTTCTTTGCTTTATGCCAGTGATATTGCCAAGATAACAATATGTTAAATTCTAACATTTATTTTGCGCTAATGAATGTACAATTATTATTCATGGTGGATCAGATATCTTGTTTGTTTGGTGGTCTATTTAATTAAGAAGATATTAATATTAATTAAATAAAACAGGTTGATTTCAACGTACTCAAATTACTTCATCAATCTGAGGTACACATTCGTTCGAAAAAATTCTAATCTTTCATCACTTTCTATTAGAAATATTCTTCCAAAACAATTTGATAATAGCTGTCGAACAGTTGAAAATAAAAATTACTAATCTTCATATAATAGTGAAATGAACAGAATAGGAATCAATGAATCAATAGGAAATGGAGGATCAACAATTCGATGAAGCAAAGGCTATAGAAATGTTCTCAACTGCGGTGACTATATATAAAAACAAAGATTTCATTCACGATTTCACTGTTCAGAATGACAAATCATTGACGACCAACATTAGCCGAAGAATGGCTGTTATATTTTATATTTATATTTTGCTTTTCGTTCCGGTTTATTTTTGTTTGTGATAAATTTTATTGTCTTGTGTGATAAATGGTAGGTATGTTGCCACGATTTTTTATTTCAAATAAAGATTCAATTAAGCAATTTTGAGGCTTACACAATGAAATTTTTGGAAGATATTAACGAGACATTTCATGGATTTACGATATTCAAACAACGATTATAGAAATAGAAATAGATCGAATAAGGAAAGCATAAAGAAGCGATGTAATAAAAGCATGAACCAATTTAGCATGGTGGAAATGGACAAGAATCAGAAGATGATAGGGATACCTTATTTACCGATATCTCTATATGAATTTAATGCAAACAACGATTACCCAGTAAATTCTTGTCATCATTAAAAATAGTGGTGGAACAAGTGGAGATTCCGAATGTGCAAAAATTATTCGAGAACCAGCCAGTGATATAATTGAAGCCATCCTGTAGATGAGATGTCAAAGTCAAATCCAAGAAGACAAAGCATTCTCAAAAATCCCAGATCGAAATGGGGAAAACTTCAACACAAGACAATAGACCAAAGAAGAATGCTTTCTGTGACGAATAGTGGATAACACTGGAATAGTGAATGCGAAAAAATTAAAATCTATAGTGAAAGAATCTAAAAGATGAAAGGGAAGCAGTTGTGCTTCAAATGCCTAAGTGGAAAGTATATAACGAACCACTGCAAACAAAACTTTGATTTTGACGTTTCTATTATAACGGACGACGGTTATCAATGAATATATAGAGTACAAGAAGAAATGCAGTGAGCAGAGCAGCACATCGTAACTAGCTTCATGACTCTAAGAATAAACAAAGCCAATTATATAACATTAATAGTGTATTGTAGAGCTAAAAAATTCTGATGATGAAGAGGAATTTAACGGGATAAGATTATTCGACTGGAGCGCAGTCCTCATATTTCAGATGCAAGAAACTTAAGTTAATTGGAGCCCGCCAAGAGAATTTAATGATAAATATTTTTGATAGTTGTTATTCAGTATCACAACAAATTATAATCAATTTCGATATACAAACTCTTACTATCGACCAAATAAGAATCAATGCTGTAAAACAAATGACTCAGCCAGTATTTAGAGCAGTATTAAGCGGAAAGGAGCAAGGGCCATATCTGTAATTTTGGAGAAGGACCATATCTCTAATTTTCTAATTTCAGAAACAATAATTGGCATCGGTTTCTATGAACGATTTGAATTAAGAAACATGACCATGGAATTTATTTTCACCTATACAAAAGTAAAATAGGGCCATTTTTGGCAGGTACAGAGATGCTGAATCGAAAAATGACGCCAAAATAATGAGGATCTTAAGTAATCTGGTGTTCGGACGAGATGCAGATTAGAGCATCGTCGGATAAGTACCCACAATCACCCGAAAAAAGGTATGATAATTTGATCAAACAACAACCAGAAAGTAGCACCATCAAGAAAGTAAAAGAAATAAAATTACCACCGGAGAATATAGATAATGCATTATATTTACCACACCAACCGGCAACCACGCTGTGCTACTGTATTCGATCCTAGTACAAAGAATACTAGCGGAAAATCCCTAAACGACTTTTCAATTTTACTGTAGTTCAATTTTACTGAATGAATGAATATTGACGAGATCAAGTATAGTCCTCTATCCTCTCAAATATGATAATAGCTGAGGTAAAAAAGACTTTTCATCAAATCGGACTAAAGTCACAAGACCAAAATGCAACACGATTTTTATGGATGAAAAATCTAAGAAAAGAATTAAATGTGCGATGAAAATATGCAAGTATATCGTTTCGAGAGAATTCTCTTCGGACTAATTTCAAGTCTACAATGCATAAACATTTAAATAAAGTTAATTCGAGATTGTTACATTATGTCTCGAGGGATATCGTGTAGATAATATAATATAATTGTGACGGCCTGGAAAACCAAAGAAACTCTATAAAAGCATAAAATGATAAAGAAATTGTTTGGCGGAATCAGGATGAACATTCGAAGTTTCATATATAACCAGCAGTTCAACAGTTCAATTAGCGATGATTGAATCAATCAGCTAAATAAAGTATTGGGAATTTTCTTCGACTCGTCAAAGAGGCAATTACTACATTTTTTAATTTCAATTTACAATCGTTTATGTATTGTTGCCATTGAAAAAACGTCCACAACTACTGGAAATTGAATGAACCTATCGGAAATAGGATTCAAGAGACGATTCACGGAATTTTGGAAACATGGGAACAATCTCATTTGCTTAACTAATTCCGCTAAAGGACGACCTCATAAGATCCACTGCATCCAACAGCCGGAGCATAAGTGACAACCTTATATGTAGGATATCAAGTAACAGTCTCACAGTGGAGAACAGGTTTACTACTCGCTAAATTATGATTGATCTCTCCGGGACGACTATCTTGGAGAGCAGAACTGATTGAAGTTGTAATTACGATAGTAAATTATGTTCAAAAAGCCATTAGATATGAAAGAGACAAAAGTTTTTATATTGTCATATAGCTAAATAGTATTTCGTTTCTTATCAGAAGAGGTTGACCACAAATTACGATTTGTGTATGAAATAAAGACAACGAAAGCACAGCTTCATTACATCCCGTACGCAAATAATCCTGTTGACGTAGTAACACGAAGCTTTTTTTGCACAATTTGCAAGAAAATAACATGCGGTGGTGCGAACTCTGATTTGGTTCTAAATGATTCTTGCGAGAACCAGAATGGCTCGTACAAAATAATTTGTAAAATTCGAATGATCAAAGAAGAAGAAATGAAAAATTATCAATGAATGAAGGAAACAACAGCCATTATGCAAGAAAAATTGCATGAGGTACAAGGACCCATCCATCGTCAAAGCCGCAAAACCATACAGACAACTCCGGCGGAATATACATTCTATGAATTATAAAGTTAGCAATAATAACTATAAATAACTATAATAAAAGAATGAAGTCCTGATATAATGAAGATTTCATTATACAGAAAAAATACTGTCAAGACAAACTCAGAATGAAACTATTTATGCAAAGAATTTTGATAAATTTTGGCTTGATACAAAAGAATGATGCATGGATGATGAAAGGAAGGTTTGGTAAAGGTTAAGATCTGCTTATTAGTCAGCTTATAAAATTAACCATTATTTTATGGAAACCCATCTGAACTTTTTTCACGTACCAAACGATACCAAGGTGAATAATGTATAAATTAACAGAAACCTACTAGATCTGCAAACGATTAGCAAGGAGTGTTTACAATGAAGACAAATGATCAAGTCGGTTATTCTACTAGATAAATAAATATTCGATGAAATGAATCGAGCGAAGTCACCTATATAGGAATGGACCTTGCCTGTGTGGGTGAAGCATGAGAACCAGAAGATGAAAAGATGGGTAGTGCTATTTATATACATGGCGATGAGAACGATCCATTTGGAGACAGCAAAATAATGTCAGCGGAAGGTTTCTTACTCGCATTACGGAAGTTAATGGCAATTCGAAGCGAGAACGATATTGCCCGACAGTTTCAAAGAATTTCATTTTACCAAAAGATGCGATCAAGAAGATGCAGTCAAGCATTGCCGAGGAAAAGTGAAATTCATTCATTGGAAATATGCCCTATAGACAGGAAGTTCTTGTAACATGTACGAATGAACGAATGAATGAAATAATGGTGGCTACACTGAGAAATTTGGTTGGAAAATGGACAATAAATGGTGTTTTTATGCTTTCAAAGGACGAATTTTTGAACTCTAATCTGCGAAATAGCAGCGACAGTGAACAAACGACCACTGTGTTACAAAAAATGGCTTTGATACTTATATCGACACATTATCAGCGAACATTACTATCCATAGATGTGTTATGTTAAAGACGTTAACGACGAGTTGGAATCAATATGAAATTTGTGCAGAGAAGATATTGCAGAATTGGCTCCATGGCACCAAAATTTTAATGGGAACTGTGGCAAAAATAGTATTTGTAAAGTTTATTAGAACACCTTCGTCTATAAAACCGATGACGTTTCGGCAACCGAAAGAAGTCGTTAAATAAGCCAATGCTAAGATCTCAGGAGAGATTAGGAAATTATCGAGCTG